CATTAAAAGATAATTATGAATATGAAACGGTGAAAATATTGGACCAACAAAGTAAAAGTTTGTGTGATATGGTCCTCAAAGAAAGCATCGAATATAATGCAAGAGGTACTGAATATTAAATCCATTTAAGGGACAATACCCTAAGGACATGCAGATAGTAAAATTGGGTACAGCTGCTGTACCTCTCAATCTTTCAGCTCTGGACTATAAGTTATAAGATTACTTTACCTTTAAGCTATTTGGAATTCTCAACTAAGTAGTGAACATCAGTTCTTAAGTAAACTAAAGTCTGCACTGTGAACAGCTCCAAGAAAATCAAAGCTTATCTCTATTTATACTTTGGCAAATCTGATACACATAACTCTGCAAAACTGCAGCTGAATAACAAAGTCTCTAACTAATTCTCTAGACTAACTTATTCTCTGCTTTATACATAGAAATACCGTTAAGCTTTTCAAGGATATCTAGCAAAATCTTCTGCAAAGCTGCTTCTATAATGCAACTTGTTAGAGGAATTTATTTTCCAAAAATTCAGTTTTGGTTTTATTAATTTCGTTAAATTCTAGATACGCAATAGAAGCTTTGCGATAAGTGAGCCAAGGAATCAATTTATCAAAGACCATTTTACTCAATATTTAATGCTTTATAAGTAACAGAAAAACATGCCAAGCTCTGTAGTATTAAAGCAGGTCAATAAAGGCTTTCGGAAAAGCGACAATTTCCAATGGCATTTTGTTTGCCATTAGCTTGTGACGTCACAAATTTGGCATTGGGTTGAACGCACACAAACTCAATAATTTGTTTAGCTGCCTGATTCTGGCATTTGCCTATTATTCAATGGCAAAAGCAACACAAATAGCATTTTGTGTCTATTTTAGTGTAATTTTCCGCACAGACGGCTACCCAAAGCACAGAGCGCAAGTCGGCCCAAGAGAATGCCAGCTCCTTCGCAACGGCTGCTGCTGTTGCTGGTGCTGCTGCTGGTGCTGCTGCTGGTGCTCCTGCTGTGCGTGGCAGCCACCAAAAAGCTGGCAACTTAAAACAAAAATTATTGGCCAGCTGCGACGCCCGAGTTATAAAAATAGCAACTGGAAGCCAAAAAACCAAATAGCCGCAAATTGAGTTTGAACCAATTTTGTTCGATTTTGTTGCACTCTAAGAATTATTGAAGCGGGTCAAATGTTTTAGCAGGTAAGAGAAGGCTTTTCTGCGGCCATATATATTTATGATATATTTGGTTTATCTGCAATATATGCAATATATACGATCTAGCTAGGTCTGCTTATACCTAGATAATACCTAAGCTAAAGTCCTGAAGCGTATACCAAATCTATGGCAGCTAGATACAAAGAATTTGGCTTAACCACAAGTTCTCTCAAAGGTTACTCTGATTATATATACAAAAAATTATATATAAAACAGCAACTGAGCTTGATAGTCTCTAGGTATGTGCCAGTCGAGTTTCAATATTTTGATGGTTTTTTTTTCAGTCTGCTTGCATTGGGGCATGAATTTTGTTTGGCTTGTGAAATGTCTCCAAAAGACGCGCCATAGTTTTTTAATTTTTTGGCATACTCATACTTTATGGCTTGTCTGCTATCGATTTCAATTGTGTCATGGCACATTGTGCAACGCGCCAACGCCAACACCAGCACCAGCCCAAGCGCTCCCCTCGCTCTGCTATATTTCATTTGCTTTGCGGGAACTTCAAAGCGCGCAATGAAATTGACACCCGCAGCGCCAGCTACGCTCCAAATTGAAACTATGGGCGAGAAAATAAATGTGTAGCGAAATGGAAGCTGCAGTTAACCCGCTGGAGCCGCTGGAGCCACCGAAGCCACCCAAGCCACCCCAGCAACAACCCCAAATGCAGCACCCCGCGCGTGCCCCAATGTGGCAATAAAACCATTTTAATGAGATTTAAGCTTTAAATTTCGCGCTTTATTTACGTGAGTGGCGACAGACGAAGGGGGTGTGGCTAAAAAGGCGAATTTACGCCACAGCGTCATAGTGTCTCGCGGCAGCCGTAAAAAATTAAACTTATATATTTATACATATATAAAAGGAGTTGACTTCATTATGTAACTCAAGGGAAATTTTAATTAAAAGCGTGCGAAAGATTTAATTGATTATACCCAGTGCTGAAGCCAAGCAGCTGGGTTAGTCAGCGGAAGGGGTGGATAGGTGCTAACGAGGCAGCGAAGAAATTGAGATGAACTGAAAAATGGGGAATCATATGACAGGATATCACAACTGATGTAAATTGTGTTTAAAGTTCTAGTTAATTATTTTACTAGATGAAATTGATGTTGATAATGACAATAATGCCATAACCCTTTAAAAGAGGGGGAAACTACAAAGCAAGTCAAGCTTGTATTTCCTGATATATATTTACAGAGTATGTGTGAGTCATCAGAAGATTGATATGAGAGTGGACTGTATAATAAGGGAAATAAAAATAATAACACGATAACCGAAAACAAATTAAACTATGCGACTGATTGCAGCGCAGCTTACAGGGTATGTCATAGTTCATCAACTTTAATATTCTGCCACAATTCGTAATGCAATCAAAGTTTTTCATAACTTTTGACACGCTAAAGCTGAATCACACTATACAAATTAATTACTGGCAGCTTACAGGGTATGTCCAGGTCTAGCAGAGCTATACGGTCGAATCATAAAACTAAAGCTGTGCTGCACTTACAGAATATACTGGGGTCCATCACCAGTGCAGCCATTTTTATTTTTATTGTGCACTCAAAACTGACCGCTGGCCATTGAAAATGATCTTAGCCCCAGCGACTTGGCAAATATTTTAACAAGTTTGTTAAAACATTTTATGAAAATTGCGGCCATACTTTCAAGGGGAGCACGGGAAGGGGTCGGGTCAGTTGAAGCTGGCTCCAAAAAATAAAAGTTTACACAGTTAATAATAAAACCATTTACTATGCAAATATTTTGTCAGCCCAGGCAGGGGGAGGGGGCAAAGCGGGGCAGCTGGTTGACCCCAGCGCAAGTCATTTTTCACGCTTAGCATATGAGAATTTGAATTTGGGAATGCAGAATGGACGCAAGTCGAGATGTGAGACGTGAGACGTTAGATATGAGACGTTAGCTGTTAGATGCTAGGAGTTAGGCAATAGACGAGAGCCCACAAACTCCGTAGCCCCCAAGCCCCACAGCTGGAGCTCGAGTTGAGTGCATGCAAATGTGTTTGCAATGGGTTAAATATGCTGCGCAGACCCCCAGCTATATGCATATGCATTGTGTGTGCCTGTGTGTGTGTGTCTGTATGTGTCCTGCATGACCCCCCACTAGCTTTTTGTTTGCGCTGACTTTGAGTGAATGAAGTGCAGCAGGGAAACAGAGGAAGGGACTGGGCCAGGCAGCAATGAAAAATTAAAAAGGGATTTTGGTGCGGCAGCTGCTGAAAAGCGTTTGAATAGTAACTTGAACAAATTTTTTCTCTTTCCACTGTTTTTTTTGTGGAATTTTTTGTGAGTGGGTTCAATGGGAGCGGGCCGTCAGCGTTGCTCGAAAGTGCCGCCCAAACCACACGAGCTAAAAGATGATATAAGCCAGCATATTGGACATGTGCTATGCAGTTGGAAAGCGGCAACGAAGTGGCCAAACTGGGATGCCAAATCAAACGGGGAGAAAGAAGGGTATCTGTTTTTTTTTGGAGTGCAAAGTTCGCTTAATTGTGTGGCCAGACCGATTGAGGTTCAAGTGCAGCACTATAATTGAGAAGGATACTTTACATAAAGTGAAAGATAATGAAGATGTGCTAAGGATATGCTAAGCAATTGCTTAAAGCGATAGCATATTGAAAAGTGGATTAGAGATGGCAACGTTTTTTGTAGTGAATTACAAATAACTTGGAGTCTTGTTAGGGATTGGCTTAATTGATGCTGAGTACAGTTGCATATAATGTGAGCCTTATGTTCTTAACTAAGCTTCAGCATCGTTTGATAGTCTTAATGCTTCCAGATACTCAGTTAAACAAAAATAATATAAATAATGTATTTAAGATAGATCTTAAATCGGCCAACTGAAAATATAGATGCAAACAAAAACTGCACCTAAAAATAGGCAATGGAATATTAAAGATGGCTACTTTATTTTAATCCAAATATTCGTTGAGAAACATATATAAATATTGTAAAATATGGATATTAAATTTAAAACCATTTCAAGAAAATATTTAATGTTTAGAAAAATTCCCATAAAAAAAAAGATGAAAAGATTTTTACTATTTTATATTAATAAGGAAGCAGCTTAATAATCTTATAATATTCCCTAATATTATTACATTTATCACAAGTTAAAAATAAAAAGTATATATACGTATATATCATAAAAAAATATTCCTCTAACTATTTAATATAATATTAAATTAACATTATTATTACGTCTGCTTTCCCTTATGAAAAATTATTAGTAATAGATTTAATATTCAGATTGTAGTTAATATTTAGCGGAATATGCATATATAGTAAGCTTTGCTTATAGTAAATAAAAACGGATTTCTCAATATTTTTTTTTGCTATCAAGCCCCAACGATTTTCTACTAATTCAAAGATTTTCTGTAAGTAATTAAGAAAGTCATAAACTTTTGATTTATAATCCTAGATAATAATTTGTTACTAAACTTCATTTTGAACTCTGTTCTCAAACAATAAATTCTATGTTATTTAAGTAATTTTCTTCACTTTCTCAAATATAATTTTATAAATGCAGAGCAACTTCCTTTTAAGCCGAGGAAAAATTGCTTTGTTTAGCAATTTCTTTGGAATTTGATGCTTTGATTAAACTTTTAAAGCCAGTCTGTGCTGGACAGAATACAAACTAATGTTGAACTTTTACGTTACACTTGCAACTTTGAACAATCCAATTGGATTTGTGCCAAAAAATGCTTAAACCCAATAAACTGCAGCTGAGTGACAAAAGCAAAGAAAAAAAGTCTGTGAAAACTGTAAAGAAAAGGAAAAGCTTACCTTTTGCAATAATGAAAATTCGTTGTAAAAAGTAGCTGGTGACTCGTAAAACTGTTGCCAATCGTTCCTCTTTATTTCTGTGTCTCTCTCTCTCCCTATCTAGCGCTCTTGCGCCCTGCTGCTCACGTTTATTATTACAGCTCTTGTTGATGTTCTGCTGATTGTTGTTGTTGCTTTTTTGATATTAGCAATTGCCGTTGTTGTTGTTGTTGCTGTTGTTATTTTAGCGTTGAATTTTCGTGCTTTTTTTATTACGTTTATTGTTTTAGTCACTTGACAACGCGCGAATGCGAATTGAAATGAATTTCGTTTTAACCCTTTGAACAATTCGGTTGAATTGCATCGCGCTATTTTTCTCCTTAAATTGTTTATAGGCTTTTGTCAGGTTTATTGTTTATTATTTGTGTAACTGGCAAAATGTCGAGCGTGAAAACAAAAAGAGAAAACAATAAAAATATTTGTAATACGCTTTTTTTCAGCTCGCTGAGCGGGCACCATGACCTTTGTCCCTTGCCCCCAATCGTTATGGCCCTGACAGCCCATATGTCTGAAGATTTATGACCATACGAAATGGCAGGCGGCTTTCTTGCCACGCCTCCTCCTGCACTCCGTAACGACCCCGTTTGCCCAGTCAAATGCGTAATGAATTATGCAATGAAATTTGTTTCATTTCTCCAACACAGACACACGATTGAAATTTTGAAAGATTGCCCTTGTCCTTGTTATTGTTGCTGTTGTTGTTGCAATAAAATTGGCGAAAAATGATTGTTTAATTTATGAAACGTATTTTGTTGATTTTGGCACATGAAAATGTGCTGAATTATCTATGGGCAAATGGTGGGAAAACATTTTTGGTTTAGCGGCTGCCTTGGCTTTAGTATCTGCACTCATTTGTGGCTCGAGGTCAAACGGCCGCCCGCTCGACCCGCTTCACTCATAGACACAGCATCCTGACACAGCCTCCTGGGAGGGCGCGGCTGCTTCCTGTACGTAAGGCCAGGCTCGAGCGCTTGAAGGATTTCCCTTCAGCTGAGCTCACGCCCTGCCTGACTATGGATGTGGCTTCTGGCTTTGTCGTAATCTCGTCGTCTCATAACCTCGGCCCTCTTTTGTTTTTTCTACTATTTTTTTTATTTTTGTTTATGGCTCGCCCCTTTTTTGCTGTTCTCCTTTTTCACTTATTAGTCTGCGTTTTGCACACACACAAATTTGCATACGAGGCACGTCTCTGACATTTTTCTTCAACTTATGCTTTATTTTGTCTTTTTGCTTCTCTTCGTTTCGCTCATTTCATTATTTTTATCATTATCATTATCATTATTATTTTTATTTTTACTCTTGTTTTTGGCACGAGTTGCCTTCAAAGTGCAAATGCGAGATTTCTTAGCACCACATTAAAACAGACGACAGTAAATAGCAAAATAAATAAAAAGAACATGAAAAATGGAAAGTGTTTTAAGTTTTTTCATAATAAGGAAAGAGAAAAAGGAGACGGAACATTTGTCATTTGCTATTTGTCATTTTTCATCTGAACTTTCTGCTGCTTTCCGTACGCATTATGAATGTTGCCTTGGGGTTAATTATTAGATTGTATTTTACAAATTTTGATTAATTTGTTAATAACTTAAATAAACAATTTGAAAAACGTTGCAATGTAAAATAATATTCATGTTGACCAAATCTTCAATTTATTTAAAGCAGCTCAAGTATTTCAAGAATTTCATTTAATAATTTCTTAAAGAATTTTATCTATATTTTATTTATTTATGAAAGTTCTCATATTTTTTGGTTTCATCTTGAATTCCATAATTTATTTATAGATTTAAAAATATATATATTGAATAAACCAGAAAAACTAACATTTCTGCAACAAGAATATCTAACTAATTAGTATACTGAAATAATATAAATATAATTTTATTTTATTTTATATATGTATTATTATATATTTTATATTTCAAAAATAAATTAAATTAAAGTATATAATAATAGAATATAAACATAATATAATAAATACTCTTTTGATTTTATTTATTTTGATATATTTTTAAATATTTTAGTTATTTTTATAATTAAAATATTTTCATTATTATTGACTATTTTATTCATAAATTTAAAAAATTAAAATAAAATCTATTTTATTCATAAAAAAACAAAATATATAGCTTATGGCAGATATTATATTTTATTTATTTTTTTAACGAAGCCTTAATGACTAGCACAATTTTGTCTTCGATTATTAATTATCAATTAATTCTTCGATTATTAAACAAGTAAATGTGTTTTAAATATTGTGAAGAGATACTTTAGAAAAGCATTTTATATCAATTTTGAAAAAGGCCTACAGCATTTTAAAATAATTTAAAAATGTATTGCTTTCATCAAAATAAGTAATAAATTCCCTCAAAATTGGCAGATGAATTGCTAAACGTGAATTAAAAGCAGTCAAGACTTATTGCCAAACTGAAGTTAGCAAATTTATTCCTGGATTATTTACGTCTCATTGTCTTCATTTGTATGCAGAACGCAACATAATTGACATTTGTAAAAAATGCGAGTCTTATCGACGTTTTGGTTTATTTAACACCTGGAAACCATTCGATACACTTCCAATAATAAGTTTAATCGTTGATTTACCTGGTGACCCAAATCATTTCGCTGGATTTGCCCTTTTTGATGGAGGCTGTGCCCATCAACTTGTAATTTGTAAATTAAATTGCTTTTTTTCAGGCTTTCCCTCTTTTGCGGTTCCCCCGCCCCCTCGCTGCTTTGCCTTGTGTGCCTTTTCTTTTTGTTTTTGTTTTCCTTTATTTTTTGTTTGCGCAAAAATGCAAATTTATCAAATTGGTTAAAGGTCTGGATTTTGATGGCGGCCAATTGAAATGCCAAAAATTAATTACACATGCCACACACACACACACACACGCGTTATTTTTTTGCTTGTGTTACTTTGTTTGTTGTTGTTGCAGTTTACACCTTTTAATTGATTACGGCGACACACACACAGAGAGACACCTTTGTGTTATTTGATTTTGATATATAATCGGAATTTGCCGCACGCACGAATCGAAGCGAGCACACGAAACACAAACTTTGTTGGCAATTGGCGCTTGTCATTTGGCTGTGTCTGCTGCCAATTGTTGGTGGCCAGGCTAAAAGAGCCGCAACATAAACGCCGTTAAACGAACGTGGCCACGTTTCCGAGTTGACTGATTTGAGCCAGCGCTGCTGCTGCTGGCCAAGACACGAGCCGTGGCCAACACCGAAGCGCGGCTCTTATCACAAACGAAGTCTTCGCGTCGTGCATCCGTGTTGAATTTCTCGCTCGGCTCCAGAGCGCAACGCAGACGCTCCAAGCAGATAGAGAGAGAGAGAGAGAGAAAGAGAGAGCGCGCGGTTGCCGGCTTTCGTTGGTGTGTGGTGAGTTTTGAGCATAGTACGCATTGGTGTAAGCTTGTTGAATGTTGTGGCACGCGGTTTTGTGGCACGTTGAATGGGCCCAAAAATACGAGGCCGCACGCTGTTATCAGTTGTGCGTAGCACTTATCATTGCTGAAGACTCCGTCAGGCTGTGATGTCCGCAAAATGAGCAAGCTGCTGTCGGCCAGAAATGCAATTCAAGTTCTAAGTGAACTAAGTGTTTGCTGTGCATTTTGATTGCTTTAGGATACTATATATTTGAGAGTTATATTAGCTATTGGTTTAGTTGTATTGCCTGGAAGTGGTTGTAAGTTTGCCTCGGGCAAGCTGTCAACTATTTCAACTTAAATCAATCAAGAATCTCAAAAAAATAAATCTTATTCGTAAATGCCTCAGTGCTATTTCTCAGTCCACCTGGTCAGTATCAATTCATGCTTGATAGGCAGACAAATTATAGAGCTGTCGACAATATTCTAATACTCGCTTGAACTCCGAGCGCCAGCTTTGCAGGATCAAGCAGCTGCGCTGAGAGGAGCACAAATGTGAAGAGAGGGACAAAATCAATACGAATAAGGACAATCTCTTTTATCTCAATTACGATAACTGTCACCCATAAATTGAACTAATCCTGACATTGGTTACTGAGTCCAACAGCTTCTATAAGCTCTAACATGCAAGGCTTTTTAATTGATTTGTAATATTTTTGAATAATAACCAAATATCTTCAATTATTTTACATTAATTTCCATTCCAATGAACTTTAAAATTTTCCTTTCATATCCTTTCTCATCTACGTCTAAAACTTTTTCTCATTAAATTTTCCTGCCGGCAGATTGAGTCAATAGAAATTTGTAACTTGAACTGTTTTGAAACCTTTTGACTTCTGATAAGTCTTTTGCTTAAGCCTTGACTTGTGTCAGCTCCTGCTTAGTTTCTTTCTCTGACGCTAGGTGTCGCTTTGATGTGCTCCTTGGTGCGAGATTGAAAACTTAGCAAGATGCCGCTTCCTAATTGATGTATTGTCACCAGCCTCCGCACATCATGTCCATGTCCATGTCCTGTTTGCCAGACAGAGACAACAACAACGACAATGACGACATCCGTTCGACCATCAAGCCACTGATGCTCCTGCTACTACTACTACCACCAGTACTTCTTGTGGAGGACTCTGTCATTTGGGAACATTCATTTTGACTTTCATGCGCTTGTCAACTGCTGGCTAAGAGTGTTTTGTTTTTGGTCACTTCATCGTACTTGCCAGCCCCGTCATCGTCTCGTCGTCTTGTCGTCTCATTGCTGTTGCCGTTGCTGTTGTTGGAAACTGTTTTTATGGTCGTGTCATCGTTGCCAAAGAAATTCGATGCACTTGCTTTGGCATATCAATGCGTCCGGCTCCTGCTACTGCTGCTCCACAGACGCTAAACAGGCCAAACTAATTACCGTGCATAATAAATCAGAGCTGTCATAGTTTGCCATTAGCTTGACAGCAAATGCCCGAAGCACAGGTCCTGGTTGCTTATTGGTTGCATTTATGCAAATTGCTAGAGCACTGAGAACGTTGAGCCGAACTATTGGACCTGAGCATGCCATGGCTATAGACTTTTGCATTATTAATTGCAATTCGTTAGCATTTTCCGAGAATTTGCAACAGCTTTAACCTAATAAGCGACACTCAAAGCACACAATATGATTGCTTGATATATATATATAGCTATCGATATATATCTAAAGTGAAAGCTGACAGGGAAGGACACCTAATGCTCTACTAATTAGACAAGAATGTAGAGCATACACTTAAGTAGGGAACTAAGTCTTGTATGTCTTCAAGAGAAGCCTTTACTATACGATTGCAGCTAAATTCATTGCAGCTGTCCATCAGTAGAGCTTTCACTGTACCACACCGATGCAATTGCTTTGTTCCCTCAGTAAGTTTCTTTTCTATGCAAAATTAATTGATTTCCTTTGAAAGGCAACAACTGACATATTTTTCTAATATAATTGTGTAGTGCGGCAAAAGCTTTTAAAAAAGGACGTAGCGTGACTTGGCAGATGATTGAGCTAAATTGCAACAAATTGTCAGGCAATTAGTTTAAATTGGAACATGACTAGAATTTTTTAATGAACACTTCGATTGAAATAACAATTTCAGCTTTTATTTCGTGCCCATTTCCAGGGCATAACAAAATGAATAATTTTGCTGGTCTTAATAAAGCAAAAATGATTGATTTCTGTGTAAGGATAAAAAACACAAATTTGAAATTACTCAATTTTAAAGAGCTGTTTAACCCACCTCAACTGCCTGAAAAAGTTGACCTTCTTACGCACCTCGGGTATGTTGTGCATGTGATCATCAAGAAACTTGTAATAGGTGCCCGTGATCGGATCAAAGTCGTTCTTGGGCAAGCGATTTAACATAAAGTCAGGTGATTCTCCTTTGGGCTTCAGAGGCTTGCAGCGTGATGGATAGGGCTGGGGGAACTCACGCATGTAACCAGATTTCAAGGGCTGTATTAGCTCTTCCTCTTTTTCCACTGGACCATAGCGTGGACTGCGTAAGATGGTTGAGTGAGCCAATGAAGTACGATTACTTTCAAGCACTTACTCATCCATGTTGAATGACTGAAAGTTGACCAATTTGTGATCGGTGGTACAGAGCATGCGCTCTGGCCGAGCGCCCTCCTCCAACATGATTTGTGTGGTTGTCTTCATCACAGAGCTATCGAAGTGCGGCTCCCATAGCTTTGTCTTCCTCTTGCAGGGCATGTCCGTAACAAATGAGCAAATGTGAAATATTCAAAAATATATTTGGGGAAGTGTTTCCGATGTATTCCGAATGTCGAATGTCGAATTTTCAAGGCAATCACAAATTTTATTATATAAAAAATTTTCTTTGACAGGAGACGTGAGATGAAATTGAATATGAAACGAGCATGAGTAAACTCGACTCAGTTTAAATATCTATTGAATGAAATACTGCAGTCGAAAGTGCCCGACCATAAAATATTTTAAGCACATCCCTACTGAACGTAGGTTAATAATAAAAATTAATTCATTAATATTTTCTAATTCATATTGCATTTAATGTATTAAGAAGCGATTATTTGAAAAAAACTTGATATGTGCGTGATATACACAGACCTCACCCAGTCGGACAGATGGTCAGAGAGACGGTTAGTTAGGCGGCTAGACGATTAAACGGTCAGTCGGTCACGCGGACAGGCGGGGGGTAGGCTCCATCGGCTCGGCTTGTCGTCCTAATCAAGAATATAGTATATAATTTTGGGTTTATAAAAACAAGTCAAGTATTTCTAGTTTTTATGTTGTTCAAGTTACAATTCGCAAATTCCTATATATGAAATATATATGTATGTACACATGTAGCTAAAAATAAATAATTCTTAAGGAGCGTTAAATATAGGTATTAATGCGAATGGTTTCTAGTTTTTAATTTTTTCTTACTTTTTACTTTTTACGGTTTTTTTTATTTCTATTTTTAAAAGGAGAACATATTTATTGTGTTATACATAAATTGAGTATTTATCAAACATGTGTCATGTTATTGTTATTGTAAATTAATATATTAAATATATTTATATATTCATGTCTTGAAATATTTTTAAAATATAAATGTATACACATGTGTGGTTCGTAAATATTTAATATAGAAGTGCAAAAATATGTTATACAAATGAAAATGAAGAGAAGAGATTTCGTGCCTATGACAAAAATTAAGCACACTTTTGCAAATAACTTAACTATGTCACAAAGAGGTAAAAAAAATAAAGTGCTCTTAAATATTACTTATTTTATAAAATATATAATAAGAGTAAGCTTAGCACTTAACTATTTTAAAGAGTACAAGACAACATTATTAAACTCTTATCTTAATTAGCATGAGAAAAATGATCAAGAGAAGATCATATTGCTAATGATCATTATCGTTAATGATACTTGCCAGTAATAATCATGTACATAAATGATTATTATTCTTAAAGATCATTATCTCTAATGAACATTATGTCGAACTTCATTATTATAATAACAATTTGTGCTTATTAATAATAATTAAAAATAACTAAAATACTAAACATTATACATTTTTAACATTTAAACAATTAAATATTTAATAAACAAATAAACAATGTTCAAAAACAAGAAAAACTTAAATATATATTTAAATATTAATTATGTACATAATAATATATTTATTAAATAAATACAATTTATTTAAACTTAAACAATTTAACAAAAAAAACTTAAATTTATTCACCATTTGCACTGCACTGCACACGACTGACCTAGTCCAGGTCTTGAACTTGACTGATCGCCCACGGCTGCTGCTGCGCCTTTTATACCCAAAAGTCACTCAAACGGCAGCTCCAGCAGAGCTCTGCTGAGCACTTTTTGAGTGAGAATTTGCACTTATTTTGTATTATGTTAGAAGCAGAACGGGAAGCGAGCAACCAAAGCCAGGTATATACACAAAAATAAACATACGATCGGGAACATATATGCTATACATAAATACTTCATATATATGTGAATTAAATGTGTTTTTATAGTCTGATCCCACTTATAAGTATTATTAGTCTTATATATATTATTAATAATTTTGAGCTCCCATTTTTAATGGGTTCAGCGTATTAAAATATTTAAAAATACAAATTGATGTATATAACTATGTAAAAAAACAAATAAATATATGAAAAGGTATATTAATCATAGAAAATTTGTATGCTTTTAAAATACGAACAAACAAAATTATGAAATTGTAAAAAATATAAAAATTGTAACAAAGAAAATACTTCAACTAAAAAATAAAGAAAATTAATATTTATAAAAATATTTAATGCACAAACATTTTGAAAATCTTCACCAAAATCACGCAATTATCGTGAACATCAAACTTTCTAAACAAAAATAAACTTGAATTAAAATTGAAACACTTGAAGCACTTGAAATAGCGCTTAGTTGCCAAATGTTAATAAATGCAATTTGTAGCTTCAACAGAATCCGGATATATAAACCAATTAAATCAGATCATTAAGCAACAAACTGTGTGTCTGTGTCTGTGTGTGTGTGTGTGTGTTTGTGCGTGTTTCATTCAAAGCACGAACGGATTTATGGCAGGCCAAATGGCCTGAATGAACAGACAAATGAAATGAAAACCGAACGGCCAGTGGGTTAGTGGGCAAAGCGCTCTGCCCATGGATAAGCGGGTATACGAAATGGGGACAGGGCACATAGAACAATTGCAACAGGAATTATAATAAAAGGAACAATCGCCCATAACAATGGCGCTGCTTGCAGTTCTCATTATTGTTTTGCTACCTTATTTGCTTGAATCGACATTAATACGGGCTAATTAAACAAATATTGGATGGGAGTGTGTGAGTGTGTGTGGGCGTGCGTTTGAGTGTGTGGGTATCATATGGCTTATATCAACAAACGGCATCGATGACACCAGAAGGCAATGTTGAACAACATAATGCGATAGACGCCGCTCAAATGGGCAACACTGAGCGAGCGAGATGCAGCAAGCGTAGCGAGAGGCAGAGATGCCAGGAGATGGGGCAACGCCATGTGTGGCATAAATTATGTGGCAGAATTTTGCATGCGTTGCATTTTACAGCGCATAATTTGCATTTTTAAGCATTTTCACAGTGCATTGGGCATAATTAAAAGCGACGGCAAACGGGGACAGCACGCCGACTGGAATGTACTTTTTTGGATTTTCCTCTTTTTTTTTTGGCCATGAGTGTGTACACACTGAAATGCAATTAAGCCAACAACACATCTGGCGATGGCAGGTGGGGCGTGGGCAAACTGTTGAACTGCTCAAGTTGCTCACCTTAAAGATTACACAGTTGACTAAGCGAAAGAAGGCAAAGGCTGAGGCTTCGCAGCTGGTTGGGTGGGTAGCTGGCGCACTTAACAAATTAATGTCAAGCCACAATAAAAGTCAACAGCTGGTTTGGCTTGCGGCACAGCCAAAGGCCAGGGAGGCGAGCAGGCGATGGCAGCTAAGGTGAAAGCATAGTTGAGTGCAATGTCATGCTGAGACTTAGTGAGAGTTTGCGCCGAATAGTGGGCGGGATAGCTGGGGATAGCGCGTGCAGCCAAGAATGGCAAACGGAAACGCTGCCACTCGCAAAGCAACATTTACAAATGCACACACTCAGGCAGCGGCAGGCACTCGCGCATGTTTAAGCGCCCGAGATTTTGCGCTTGACATATAATCTTTATGTTGCCATTCGCTTTGCCTGTTATATGTCTGTCTGTGTTTGTGTGTGTTGCATCCTTGCGCATCCTGCGCAAATGGCAAAAGTTTTGCCCAGCACGCAGCACTTGCTCAACTTTTGATGGCTGAGGTGTGAAATTTACGAGTTGTGCGTTTCGCGAGTCCAAATAGGCATATAATTATTGCACATGTACACGCACGTATACATAGACACACTTACAGCTGCGCTTTAAGATTAAAACTTGTTTTTGTTTAGAGTTTCATTTAATGACGGCAAGATATGCAGCACAGCAGAGCCTGCCTTCAAATGTGGATATAAATTTATATATAAATATAAATTATAAAACTTTAAAGTACATAAATAAGCAAGCTTTTATTGAATATGTATAAACACTTTTTGAACTATTCAGTTATTCCATGATTTAAGACAATTATAAGGTAGGCATATGAAACTTATATATATTATGTATATTATTATATTTCAAGGAATTGTGCTGACCTGCTCAGCAGAGCGACTATTTTATTCAAATTTCAAATCAAAAATATATATTCATCTTTTTCTCTAATAAAAACTTACTTAATACCATAGCAATATAGATGTCACTGTCTGCCACTGCGTGTAATTTTAGCTCAGGGACAAGTGCTTTTGGCGTCTCCCTACACTTTAAGTCAAGTTCTGTTATTTTTTCAAAACAGAGTCATTATATATGTATATTATATATTATATTTACATATACATATATATATTTATTGCTGAGTGGAATTTCATGAGCTTGACCTCCTGCGCCAACATTCGTTCATATGCCGTTGCGGCTGTTCCAAATGAACTTCCTGGCAAAGCTGTAGACGGAAAAACAACTTCACGGCATTTGAAGCCGGCCACAGTGATGCAAGAGAGAGGGAGACAGAGGTGGAATCAGCGAAATAGAGTAAGAGTGAGCTGGAGTGGCAGAGAGTAGCGAAAAAATGCAGTTAAATGAGCGGAAATGCAAAATTAACTCGCTGCGAAAGCGCAGAACAAACAAAGAAATTGTTGTACAACTAAAAAACACAAGAAAAAACCAATAAAAAGAAGACAATGTAAAAGCAAAATGAAGAGGAAATAGAGAAAAATAATGGCTAGAGGAGTGGCAAAGGAAATTTCAAGTAGTGCAAAAAACAAGTCCGAATAAATGTTGCCACTTGGCCAAATTTAATGCAAATATTTGGCCAACCGCAAAAGCCTCGCGTAACAAAACCAAATTAAAACGCAGCAGAACTTTGCTGCAGTTGGGGCTAGAGTAAACGAGATGCTTATCGATGAAGTGAAAACAAACTTTGATCATGAGAATATATTAGGTTTTTTTTAAATGCAATCAAATGTTAACAAAACTTAAGCATTTAATTAAAAACTGGTTTAAAATATAATTTTAAGTAATGTCAGAGAGCATTAAATTGATGTTGTTCGCCATTTGCTTTTAGCTTGAAGTTAATTTAGGTAATTTCATTTGGTATTGAAGCTAAATTTTCTTTTTGTTGATTG